GGGGGGGGGGGGGGGGGGTGCGGCACCCCCCGCACCCCCCTTAGCTACGCCACTGAGGAACATTTCTATACGTTCTACTGTATGTCGAAATGTTTAGGTTTACCTAACGTTTAGTAACGTTCCGTGACCACAAATTGCGCCGTGTAGTAGTAGTGAACAACATTATTGTAAACACAAAAACCTCGTGCAATACTGTCTAAGACTACTATTTAATGCAATACAAAGAAAGGGAAATCAGAGAGCAACGAAACATTTCATCGCCTTTGATATAAACTATATGCTTTGCCTTTGATTGACATGTTTACGCTCAGCGAGTACATATCTTTCGGCCAGGAGTTCTCCCCGAGATTACATTCGTACATTCTATAAAACGAAACTTTATATAACAGTTTAAGGTAAACAAACCAATGAAAATTATGTCTGTAGTATGACTAATTCTGAATTTTCTAATTTCTTTGAGACATTTTATTTACAGGAGGTAAACAAAGCGAACAGAGCGAAGTTCGTATGTCACAATCAGCACTCATGCCATTAAGGCGCGCAGAATTCGAACACACTTGACACACTAGCATTGAATGGCCATCCTTGAAGCCAAACTGTACTCAAAAAACTTTTTTCGAGTGCAAAACCAAAGAATAATGATGAAAGACATATATTTACATAATCAAGCTTCATTCAGTGTGGTTTTATTTGTTAATATCAAGAATTAGGTTTACCGATAAAGTATGCTCGATTTCGACACATTTTAAAATTTTACAAAGTTTGCGCGCTTGTCATTTTTGTCAAATGGTAAATCAGAAAGATATTATTGCCGATTTGTGTGGCATGTAGTAAAACGCGGACTGGACTGGACTGGTAAAACGCGGACTGGACTCAGATTAGTAACACGTGGACTGGACTCTGTTAGTAAAACGCGGACTGGACTCTATTATTAAAACGCGGACTGGACTCAGATTAGTAAAACGCGGACTGGACTCTATTAGTAAAACGCAGACTGGACTCTGTTAGTAAAACGCGGACTGGACTCTGTTAGTAAAACTCGGACTGGACTCTATTAGTAAAACGCGGACTGGACTCTATTTGGGTCATTCCAGAAAACATCCATACCACCCCCACGGAGGAAATAGGGAGTTAACCCCCCTACCCCCTTCGGATGTCCTAATACATTTACTATTATCAGAAACAATTTTTCTCCCTTTCCCCTGCGGACGGCAGAAATTTCCTCCGTGGGGGGAGTGTGGGTCTTTTCTGGAACGACCCATTAGTAAAACGCAGATTGGACCACAATCTCGCGCCAAAATTCAACCAAAATTGAACAAAATGGCAGCGAGCTTTAAAATCCCAACAAGTCTGAAAAGAAAGGCAAAAAAGGATCCCAGAGTTGCCAAAGTTTGAGTGGAAACTTTTCGAAAAAGAAAATAAGTTGGGTTGCGGTACGTTTGGGTCCGTAAACCTAGCAAAATACAAAGGAAAGACCAGAAAAAGTGGTTGCCAAGAACAATAATGTCGAGTCCATTGACTCGAAATCCTGTTTCGAGAAAGAAGCTGTTGAACAGTACAAAAGACCACAGGAACATAATCCGGTTCCTTGAATTTTCAATAATGATGGAGTATTCTTGCTTCAATTTTCGCCCGTTTGGAGTTGCAAAAAGTCTTTGCACTCTAGAAGATTTTGTCCATTTCGTAGACGACGACTTTGACTCCTTCGCAGACTTGCTGCCAACATGTGCCAAAGATGTTGTCGCAGGTTTGAAATATTTGCACAACAAGAATATCGCTCACCGGCCGGGATCTAGTGAAACCGACAGGAAACATATGGCTGACTTTGGCTTAAGTCGGTCTCTCGACTTACAAACCAAGTAATTTTTTATGTCAATGAAATGACCGTTATGGCTTCCCCGAACTTTTCTCACCTTGCATTTTTGGCTTGCATTCTTTGGCATAAAGTATGTGATACATCATATACTTGAAAAAGCGTGCACTGAATGAAAATTAAGTAGTACAAAGTGATTGTCTTAATTCATAATATTTATTGAATGATAACGATATTCTTGCTGTGTGTGTTAATCGTTCTTTACTCGTACTACTTCTCTCGTATTTCTCATAGAAACGGTAAAAACAATCGCATATAAAACCATACAAAACAACATATATATTTTTACCCTACATTTTGTACACTATCAAGACAACAACAACGTGCTCTGTCCATTCAACTTCCGCTATGACGTATGTTCCGCTATGACGTATGTTACACTCCCCAGGGTTGACACGTTCATAACGAGTCAACAAAGTCTTCGAAATACTATAAATTGTCTGAACGTATTTAAATATCAAAATGTCAATAGACTGTAATTTAACTGTTCGTACTGTTCTACAACTTGCCCATCTGTTTCAACCGTTTCAATTGTCCGGTTATGGCTGCCTTCCGTTGCGGTCGCTCAGTTGGACGTAATAAAGACTGGAACTATAATAGTAAAAATTTTAAATCTACTTAATTCATTTGTAATATATATATTTAACGTATCGCTTCGACCCAAACATTTCTTAGTATCTTTTAATATTTTTATAATAGTTTATATAATAGTATTTCGAGTTTTCATTTGCATTTAATAACACGGCCTAATGAAAAACAACCTTTATATTTTTTGTAAATACTGATAGGTAATATGGTTGATTAGTTACCGTGTATAAAGATGTTGTAATAATAATAATAATAATAATAATACTTGTGCGTTCGCCGTCTCTTCACTTTCTTGATCTGCGTTCTTTAATCCGTCGGTCTCACTTTCGTGTCTCACTTCAATAGGGATCAAGTGCTGGATTGAGCGTCTTAATAACTGCGAATTATTTGAATTCTCACGAAAACTCTGACAACAGCAGCACGAGGAACCCCGTCTTCACCGCGGAGTCGTCGAGTATAGTCGTCAAGGTGTCTCGTAGTCCGCTGTGTTTAATCTTATCGTGAACTTCGCGTATTAATAACTCGACAAACTTTGATTTGTTTGGAAGTAAAATTGGATTTTTGCTCCCCAGGTTCAATGACGCATTGTTTAATCTACCCTTGCACCTTAAGACATGATCATCGTCGAGAAACAATCCAAATTGATTCACATAAACTGGTGGAGTTGACTTCGCATTTCTCGAAATGACGAACGAAATCTCCTTACCAAATGATAAGCTTTGAATGGACTTTATCCACAACAACTCTGCCAGTTTCACTTCACTTGCAGTCAACTGTTCCAGGTTTCGGTTTACTGGGTGCTTATCCTGTGTCCTTTTCTTCTTCAAGGCGTTAATGTATCTCAACACGTAAGCCGTGACACGAAGAAGTCTACTCAACGAGCTAAAACGATTGCTATCTATCACCTTGTTAAGATCAAATTCAGTAGACTGTTCGTCATTCGTTATAACAAGTGATCGTACGACATTCGAAGGTTGTTTAGCAACTTCTCGAAATACTTCATCTGGTTCTAGTTTATTAGTAGCTGGACAATTTGGCCACTGGTCTTCGTCATTAACTAAGAATTCGGGTCCGTTAAACCATAATGATTTGTTCGAAAGTTCCTGAGCAGAAATGCCACGCGAAGGCAAATCGGCCGGGTTCAAGGATCCTGGACAAAAACGCCAAGCCTCCACAGGTGAAAGACTTCTTATTTCGTTCACTCGATGTTGCACGAATTGTTTCCAAATACGACTGTTTCGTATCCAGTGCAGTGTAGTCATTGAGTCAACCCAATAGAATATTTCCACATTCCACTCGAGTGCACTCAACACCGAACTTACTAACTTCGCTAGTAATGTTGCACCGATCAGTTCTAAACGGGGAATTGTTTGCTTCTTGACAGGCGCAACTCTTGTTTTCGATGCCATTAATTTCACGTCAACGCGACTGTTCTCGTAAACTGTTCTCGTGTAGACAACTGCACCAATTGCACGCTCGGACGCATCGCTAAATCCGTGAATTTGCGTAATGAGACGATTCTGATTGGAAAGATAATAACATCTTGGCACTCGGCCTGTTTTAAGGAATTCTAGCTCTGATTTTAGTCTGCATGCTTTTGCATGGATTAACCACATATGAGAGCTTATCTTTCGTATAAAATACTGCACAAAATATATACCGCATTTGAATTGATTAGTAGATATATTTTTATCTACACTTTATAAAATTGATATACGAGTTGGACAATATTTTAAATCAACTGCATGTCCTGGTTATATATAGCTAAATTCTTAAAGCATATATAATTAGTTTATTTGCAAAGATTGAAATGGTGAACAAAACAAGTTTTGATTTTTTTTTCACATTGCTAGCAGCAGCCTTGTCTTTGGCATTTGTCATACTATTGTAAATTATGCAATTAACCTGAAAGTTATATTGCTTCCATACATTAGGATACTTTCTCAAACACCATAAAGGCAGATTGCTACTGGGACAAGCGGTTAATAGCATGAAGATCTCTGAAAGAGGCAAACCTAGTCTGACTGCATTCATTAATTTTGAGCCTTTCTATGCATGACATGATTTAGTGGAAGATGTAAATGTTCAAGAGTATCTGTGGAGAAAACACTGAATGATACAGCTAATGGTGAAATTCAAACGGGTTGCTGACTGTAATGAGTGCCGCTGAGAAGGGCGGGGAGGGGGGGGGGGCATTTTGGCATGGGAGTGATGGGACCCCAGATTAAAGGACCCCCCCCCTTAAATTTTCTTGATGCAAGATTGCTTAACCAATAATATAAATCCTAGCTGTGTCAGTGCTGGATAATAAGCAATAAAGTGCAATATATTGTAAAACACTGCTTCTCCTGTTATACAATTATGACATAGAGGCCCCTGGGAAAGTTTTGCCCTGTGCCCCGCACAACCTCTCAGTGTCCCTGACTGTTACCACAACCAAGTTCAACAATCAGATAGAAATCTTCATAGCTGGGGCTACTGTAGACATTTTGTACCCATACCAACACAAGAAGAAATAAGTATTTTTCTAAATGAAGGTGATATTGCATATTAAGAGGACAAGACTGAACTCTATCAAGAACCCCCACTAAGAACACTGTAATTCGAACAAAATGTTTTAGGCACAAATGTTCTGAAACAATTATTGCCAGGCATTATCGAGAAGATCTTCTTGTTTTAAATAACGGCATAAACATGCAAAACATCTGGCATGCAGCGTACAAACAGGATGCTACATGACAATGTCATAGCTACTGTGCCTTACCGTAAATCCTCTAGCTATTGATATGGGGGTTAATACATTTCTGTTTTAGAAAGGTGGGTGGGGGACTTACATCTATTTTAGAGGGGGGAAATAGGGATTTATGGCAGATGGAATAATAGAAGGTTGTGCCTAGTCAACATGTGATTTCACTATTGTATGCTGGATACATTTCTTACTAGAGTATCATGGTATAAAATAATATAATATACAATGTCAGCTAGTGTTAATAATTTAATTAATGGCAATTCTGTGTTGTCAGATCTCAAAACATATTACAAGACAAATTCCAATATCACAAGACAAATCTTGTGATATTGAAGCTCATTGTCACCTCCAGAATGCTAAAAGATACTACAATGCATTGCTTTCAATAAAAATAATATAGTAACTACAGTTGTCTTATGATGTTTTCTTATAGGATGGATTTGTTAACTCCACACACTAGATAATCTGTACGTCTGGTTTTCAGCCCCCCCCCCCCCATAAAATGACAAAAACCAACATCATTTCGTTGTACTTCAAATTTTAATTAAATAAGAACCAAATTAATTACAAATCTGGAGGTTAATATTAACGAAATTGTTATTAGTCCGGTTACGGAAACCAACGAGCTTTGGCTATTTGAACGTGAATTAATTTGATTGGTATGACCAGCGGTTGTTTCGCACAATATAACCGGAACCTTGCCCGCACCAAATCACTTCCCTAACCTTTACCCTAACACTTACTGATCAGGCCACCTGTTCGCAGGACGGCCCACGGACCTAGTGCAAACAAGGCCAGTGCACAAACCACTGGACTACTGACGAATTGCTTGAAATATCATGAAATTAACTTGATGTCATTTTAGCATGCTGACAGAACGAACAAAACTAGTTGTGCCTGACAAAGAGCGTTAGCACATTACAGTAGTTTCCGGTCACAGACAAATATCCACTTCCTAATATTACTTGTTTACAGTGGCGCAAATTCACTTTTTCGGGTGGGGGGCAAAGTCTCCTAAATTTCCGACAAAACTTTCAAATTTCCGACATACCCCCCATATGTACTAGAAAAGGGGAGGTGGGCTTCCGCTCCCTCCCCCCGCCCCACCAAGATTCCCACCACTGCTTGTTTAATTAAATATCCATTTCCTAATATTAATTGTTTAATTATTGTGATGAATGCAGAAAGAAAACCATAAATAATCTTCCTCTATAACTAATTAAATATTACACTTAATTAAATATCACAAATCATGACTATATACATGCATACTAATCAAATCTCAGGTTGATACTTGCTTCTAAAAATCTGTATTACTATTTTTATTTTAATCGTTCGAACTTCGAAGCAAAACAAAAAAGCTCCGATTGATTTCGCTTTAGTCTGCAGAAAGAACATCATTCGAAAAGCACTATATTACGGTGGCAAAGTTCTTTTCAAATTATGCGGATTTTTACTTCGAGCGCGGTTTAATCGCGGAACGGACTTTTAGGAAGCCTGTATTTATGTAAATAACGCGACCCTTGAGTGCTATATGAATATAAATGTGCGCATGTGTGAGTGACACTCCCTATAAAAATCCGCATCAATGCGTGTAAATGATATTTTTCAAGCAAAAATGTTTTTGTAACAGAACTTGACTGCAGTAGCTACACTCTGTTCTAAAACGCTTCTTTTAGCTGTCAAATGATTGGCATTTTCATTTCATACTAACATTCAAGCAGCGACCATGCATAGTTGTAATACAGTTTCTAAACTACGAATTCTCCCACATAAAACCCATTCAATTGTAAAGCTCGTCCTAAACTATATGTTCTTTTGTTGAGAGCTTGATTCATTACTAACTTTCAAATGGTTCCGCTAAATTATAATCAGCTGGCCATCGTTTCCTTTTAGACTTTGACATCAGGCTCGTCGTAAAGTATGTTTTGTTTTTGAGAACTTGGCTCTGCATAGACATGTGGAATTGCAACTTCCCCCACGCCGTACAACGGATTTTCACTTTGCGCAGCATGACCTTGATTTTCGACCAGTGGTTCATAAGTATTATCCGGTGAAGCGTACAAAGCAGGAGGTTCTGGCCCCTCCATCGGCTCGTAAATAGGATTTCTACCTTCTTTACAAACCCTGGAGTTTCCAACCCATACTTTTTCTTGTGGTGATGATGGATTAGCATAACTAAGAAAAATATTATACACATGTTTGAGGAAGCATGTCTGGTATATATATTTCCAAAATGGGTACAACCATACATGCAGACCGGTAACGTTATGGATCACTGATGTTGGTTTACACAATACAGTGACCGGTTGTACGAAGGCCGGATAGCGCCATCCGCCGGATGGTGATTTTCCCACCGTTAAAATGCTTGAAAAGCTGTTAAAGTACGGATATGGGCTTTACAACTCCAAAAAAAAGACTTCAATTTATACATGCTAAAGTTTAATCTAGGTTATAATTATTATCGAATCAAGGGATAATTTGAGAAAGCTTGAAAAAATCACTACCCTATCCGGCTTTCGTACAACCGGCCCAGATGTTTCGGCGATCATATACTATTAACATTTTTTCAAACTTTTGCGAAAGAAAAGAATGTGAAAGCCTATAGCTTTGAGGTAGAAGTTTCTGAAAGGCGACCTGCAGCTAGATGGATAGAAAGATACTTACTATACAGAATCCTCGTCACTCGCACTAGCTTTTTTCCTTCAACAGAAAACAATGCAAGAAGTATTAAAATTAAAGAGTGCATGCATGCTAAACACGAAGCGGCATAGGGAGGGTGGTGATAACAATGACGACGATGTTGTTGATGGTCATAACATGAATATCGGTATGATGATGATGAAATAATGTTGATAGTGTAGATGGCAAATTGTATTTGCTTTCAATAAATTGTTCCTCATTAACTGCCACTGTTCATTCCTCCTTGCCCCTATCTTTCTGTTATTATATACCATCATACCTACCTCGAAATCCTTCGTTTCGGGAGGGACGATTAATGACTATAATTTACCTCATTGCTAAAACATGAGGGACGATTAGTTACTAATCGTCCCTCATCTTTATGCATAACCTATATTGATGTTGAATGAAATATTTGAAAAATCAACCGTATAACCTCATTAACGAACATCCCAATAGTCATCAGTATAAAAAAGCAAACACGCCTTTTCATTTCAACTTATTCAATCGAATGAAACCGTTTTATTGTCTCGGTAGCTATGATATTGCAAAGTGATAGCATGGCATTATGGTTGGTTAGCGATGAAATATCCCTTAAGCCTCGAGAGATTTAGTAAAAATCCCTCGGCGCTGCGCGTCTCGTGATTTTTACTAAACCTCTCTAGACTTTCCGGTACATATAATCACTAATCGCCCTGAATGCCATGCTATTACTTATAAATAAAACTTTTGATTATGTTTGCTAAACTGGAATGTTATTAATTAACAATACTTTATCGCATTTAACTATAACAATTGGGACGTTCTGCGTACCTCCAGCTGTAGGAAGGATTTATACCATGTAACGAACTTGATGTGTCACCTTTCTTCCTTCTCCTGAAATATGCAGATATATATTTGCACATTAAAACAAAGATGTTTGCACATTACTGAATTCAGAAAAAATTCATATAATGACCTGACGCAATGTCTTGTAGTTTCGGTGATAGTATAGTTTCGGATTAAAAAGAATCTTGATTATACTGCGGACTTAGCTGATGTACAACCAAGCTGCAAAGTATGTATCCAGTGTATATTGCTAATTTAAATTAATACAAAACTACAAAACATCGTCTTCTTAGAGCATGATAACCAAAAAAAGAAAAAACCCGTAATGTCATGTATATCCATTGTGCACGCTTATCGCTGCTTGAGGTCGAAGATTTATGGTTTCTATTTTCAATATTCAGAACCAGGGGGGCATGCAGAGGAGAAATTTATGATCCTATTTTAAAGTAACACTTGTTTAGTTTACTGTTCCGTACCTTCTAAGAAAAATAAGGATAGCAATCAATATAAGCACGACAGCCACGCCCACAACGACAGCCACAATGATATACGTAGTCTGGTTGTTTTCACTTTGTTTAGCTGATCCACTATTTGGTCCTTGTGTGCTCACTGTAGAAATTACAGAAGTTGATGTTGTTTGCAGTATCTTGATTTTTTCTACATAAACAACGGATATTTTTCGATATATTATGATTACTTTCATATTTTTTCATGAGTTTTGTTTTCAAAGCTTCACTGGTTTATATTTGCATAATTATAATATATAGGAAGGCGTTTATTACTTTTACCAAGCCCATTTGGCATTTATAGTTTGAATTGCGAAAGACCCCAATGCATATACTGTACTTCTTATCGTAATTGATAAGGAGGGTCCGGTGGTTCCAAGCTCGGTAATTAGCGTCAACTGTTGTGGTTCGAGTATTTCTGCACGTCCCTTTATTTTACAACTTTAGAAAATAAGTTTAGAGGATCCACACACCCACAGTTTTGGAAAAAATATTTTCGTGTTTACAAACAAGCGGCTGGAAAGTTTGCTTTGAAGATCTTGATATGAGCGAAGGCGAGCACTAATATTGCATACCAGGTAGAACACAGTCCAAGTTTTAAAATAATGATTGTGGTTGTTATTATGAATAACAAGAAGTATAAATTTCTGTAAGAAGAAATTCTGAGGTCGTAGAAATTACGTGACATGGATAAAAAATCTACTAGCAACATACCAGTTGGTTTCGTTTGGCTTGCATAGTGAAAAGCGAACATAGATTGATAATTTGATGATTCACCATACTTTAGTATAATAAAGACACTATTCAAGGATGATACAATATTCCCTGTAACATTCAAGCGCGAATAGCGAGCAAGTACAGGCGCATTCTCATTACCACCGTCGTAAATATTGATGACGTCATTATCAAGAAGTTTCAGGGAAGAAAAGTTCAACGTAACCAAGTACGCGTCATCCACGGTAACCAACCAAGAACAATTAGAATGGTGGGGATTCGGATAGTTCCTGGGCGTGTCAAACTTCGGTGACTTGAGATAACCAGTACTTCCCTTCACTTCATGACGACACCCTAAATATATTTAAAAACGTATTAATAATTCATGAGGAAAATACAAAGGAAATAACTGCCGTGTCGGTGGTTATGTTTGTGATAATATAAAAAATCACGTTCATTTACATCAACTTTAGCTTTGATTTTCTCGGCTTAGAAAAGTTTTATTTTTAAAATTACTTCCCCAATGAACTCATCAAATGGGTCGTTATTAATTTAAGCCATATAAAACACTGCGAGTGTTTATATGTGATAAAGTACTCCTGCTCGCGTTTTAGATAGTACATAATCCGCTAAGTCAATCAGCATAAAGCTATAGTTAAACGTATACTGGCTGCATGATCAGGTGTAAATGTGCCATATGTCTTTGACAAACATGGTTTCCGAAACACTTTTATCCCTCCAAAGATGCCGAAGTTAATTCATCATACCGTTAAGTTTTATTGGCCGGGAAGCTCACATCAAGTATAGGATGAATTATTTCTGCGTCCATGTATGACTGTTTTTATCTCATCTAATATCCCACTGGTTGGACAAAATTACGACTTTAATTAAATCAATAGTGTCAACATCGGCAAAAAATGTTCATCCAGGTCAGGTGGGTTGAAGCCTATGGAATATTATGTCCCACTTGACTGGAATCCCACCTAGGGCCAGGTTATAATTATATATGCACCATGCACCCAGGACAGGTGGATCTCACTCGGATGAGTTTCTTGGAGGAATTGGCCCTTCCCCAGAACTCAAAATAACATTTTTTATTTATTTTGCAAGAGAATTTACTGTTTTGGTTTAACAACTACTTTAGGCTGCCCTGAATTTCGAATTTGGCAAATGAGTTTTTCATATATAGTCTTTAGTTTTGGTATTATTGTACAATTTTATCATATTGTGTTATTGTAAAAATCAACACCCGCGTACAGCTGTACGGAATTTAATTCATTGGAATTGTTTATTACTGAACAAATCTATTTCTGCACATGAACTGAAGTGAGCTATCTTATAGTGTATAATTTTGTTGGAAGTTATTGTAAAAATGGCGGGAAAATTCCATTTGCGAACGCAGGTTTCTCATACAGGACAAGGTCACCAAGAACACGTATATTTTTACTCTTTTTTTTCCTAGAACAATAAGACATTGGAGTAGCTTATGCAGGCTGCAGAGATTGTTGAGTCTAATTCCATTGTTCATTTTAATTCTGAACTATTTAATTACTTGGTTAATAAGCAAAGTTAGATTAATGTCTATTTTATTTGTATATAGTTAACTTTTTATATATCGTATATAGTTATATAGACAATTTTAATTTTACATACTGTATAGTTGGTGTGATATCGCTATCCTAAGATTTTGCAGCTATATCAATCCTCGTTGGCTCGATAGCTATATGGGTAGACAAATCCCGCTTGAGACACTAGGCAGTGTCAGAATAATACGAAACGGGGCAAGTTTGGGGCAGTTTTGAACATTTTCTTTGGGAAATCTACTAGGACTTCTATTTCTCGCTTTCGTCGACTAGCCTTCCTTCGCCTCGTCCCGAAATTGCCTAGGTTTCAGTTTTGCCATGTGGAAAAGCGCTTAACCAGATCTAGAAATAAAAGGCCATAGCTATAGGTCTATATAGGTTGGAAGTAATCAAGCTGTATAAACTTAATAACCGGATCACAATTTGAATTAAGCCGGTTTCCATTAGGCGGAATTTGCGCGAGGAGCGGAATTTTTCTTTGTCTTTTCTAATTAGTTCCACCCGAGAAATCACAAGACGAAGAAAAATTCCGCTGCGCGCGCAAAATTCCGCCTAGTGGAAAACAGGCTTTAGAATAATTAACTGCGCAATTTTTACCCTGGTCACGTGATCGGTTTGACTACCTCTAGATCCGCCCCTGAATCTGATCAACCCACATCAATCTACATGCAGCTACTTATTATACCAACCTGTCAAATGTTCAGCATTGTATTGGGCTTTAAAACTAAAAGTGCTTTTAGGATTTCTTTCATAACTTCCAGAATTTGAAACGATGAATAAACTATTTGTAGAAGATGAAATATCGACTAATTCTGCACTTGCATTTGAACCACAATATGTACCCAGTAACGGAGCTGTATCATTTGAACCATCATATATTCTTAGAAATGTATCATTACAATTTGGTATATTCAGCTCTTCAAACATCAAAGAAACGATGTACGATTCAGCGATCGTAATTAACCAGGAGCAATATTGTGAGCGTGGATCCATTTCACTAACTGCAGCCTTATGCGATGTAAGTGTTTCGCTAGGACCAGTCATTGTAAGGCTACAACCTAAATTAGAATTAAAGAATCTTAACCATTTTCCCCAAAACTAAGCAACTCGATTGACAAAATACAAGTGGTTCATTGTTGTAATCAACAAATCAATTTTTTCTTACAGCTTCGTCAGTGATGACTTTTCCAGGAGGATTGCTAAATTGCGTGGGTGGGTGAGTCGTGGGTAGTGCGTCGTGGGTACCAAATTTTATTCCATAACATTATCTGTTTTAGAATATACACAATTATTTTGACAATTTTAAATCAATTCTGTTGATCCAAAAAAATTGTTATGAATAATCACATTTACGTAATTTGAAAAATTTTTTGGCTCAACAGAATTTTTTTTAAATTCTAAAAATAATTGAGTATACTAAAAGAAATAATTTTATGAAATAAAACAGGGGTCACCGATGTCGTTTACGAGTTAAATTACTTTAAAGCCAAAATATCCGCCATTTTGAAAGGTCATTGTTGCCATAGCAACGGCAGTCATGTAACTTTTGCGAAAAAATTCAAACTCTTTAGACGTTATAAGTTCTTGGTAGGTTTGTATGGCGATAAAACATAAGTAGATATGCGGTGGCCGGACATTTTGCGGACGGATATCTTGACGAACGGACTTTTCGCCGAAAAGACATGTTGCCGAACAGACAATTTGCCGAAAATAGAAATATTTTCTGAACTTTAAAGGCTCGCTTACACTATCAAAGATTCTGTGATTAAAGTTTTTGATAAAAATCATTGTTGACTTTGATGACAGAAACTTTGAAGGTGAACATGTTTCTTTTATATTTACAGCTGAGAATAACATGATTCATGAATGTTAAGGTAAAAGACGCGTTCCCTTTTTTTTGCCTGAATAAACATTACGATGTCCTCTCTAGTGTTATTTATAATCTCTATGCGTCTTGGTATATGACGTCATTTTGCGTACGTGCGCGTGCGTGCGTGCGTGCAGAGTTAAAAAGATGCATACAGAGATTTTTTGAACAGAAATTTTTATTGAACTTTATAACGTAAACAGATTAACTTTATAGTTCTTTCATTTAATAGTGGTGTTTATTATATAGAAAATGTTCACCAATTCAAAAAGGTCAAACAGGACAAAAATGCAATAAAGGCCCAAAAGGCCAAGCGGATCATTTTGGCCTCTCGCGCCCATGATATAAAGCAAAAATCATGTCGGGTACAATTTTGTGGGTTGAGCGTTCGAGCATATGCTGATAACTGCTCATGAGCACATGCTCATCTGCTCATAACTGCCCATGAGCACATGCTCATCTGCTCATAAGGCCCGTTCAAGCCCGAAGACTGGGTGTACATTCTTCGTTTGTGGAAGCTACTGCAAAAAATGGTTACTACACAAATGCCTTCTTATAAGAAGTCGATGTAGGGTTGATGTGTGAAGTCGATGTAGGTTCGATATGAGGTCAATGTGTGAAGTCGATGTAGGATCGATGTGAGGTCAATGTAGGATCGATGTAGGATTGATGTAGGGATTCTGTAGGGGTTGTGAAGGGATTCTGTAGGGGTTCTGTAGGAGTTCTCTATTGTAAACACCATGCTACTAGTACGTAACGGGACTTATGAGCACCTGCTCAGAGCAACTCATGAGCAGGCATAAAAGTGCAGTGTTGCTCAATAACGAGGCATTTCTGCACAGTTTGTACTAGCGGAATGAGCTGCTGATTATGCGGAAAGCAAATTAACCGTGGTTACAATCTAAGAAGACACGAACTCCTGTCTACCACGTGAACAAGAAAGAAACATGTCTCAAACAGACTCGGATAGCCAGAAAAGGGATTTCCAAGACGATGTTTCGACAACTTCAATTCATGGGTCTGAAATTTCGACTGATAATGAGTCAGAAACTGAAGAAAAAATGGATCCCTGGATACCGTTGATAAAAGAAGCAAAGCAAAGAAGTAATATAGCTTTTTGAGGAAATGAAATAAAGCCTTATCAACAGTGGTCTAGATAAACAATCCGCTAAGGACAAAGCTTACTCTAATGTTCTGCCTAAACTCCAGAAGGAACTGAAAAACATTTATATGGAGCGTCTCTCATGGATGAAACAACTAAAGAAAGATCCAGTACATAACAAAACAATGCACACAAAAGACGAGTTTGTGGAAAACGATGATTTTGATCCAGAAGAAGCGTTAGAAGTAACTGTTGATAAGAGAGAGTTTCTTATAAGAAGGTTTTTAAAGGGTTACAATTTTGATGAAGAGAATGATGATGATGATTTGAACAGTATTAGCATGTAAAGACTTACCAGTATTAAGACACAGCATGTAAACTTCGAGTCATTCAACAAATTGCTTTTCCTGGGTTTTTTTCGTCATTTTTACATGGCCCATCCAGGTACAAATCAAAATGACAAAAACACGCGAAAATGTATACATTTGTGCAGAATGTACACCCAATCTTCGAGCCTAAACGGGCCTTATGAGCAGATGAGCATGTGCTCATGAGCAGTTATCAGCATGTGCTCATACGCTCATCGCACAAAATTGTACCTGACATGATTTCTGCTTTATATCATGGGCGCGAGAGGCCAAAACAACCCTCTTGGCCTTTTTGGCCTTTATGCCCTGTTTGGAATTTGGCCTGTTTGGCCTTTTTGGAATTTGGCCTGTTTGGTCTTTTTGGATCGCTGAACATTCTCAATAAAAAGACACTATTAAATAAAATAATTATAAAGTTAATCTATTTACGTTTATTATTATTATATAAAGTTGTATTCTCAAAGTTTAATAAAAAAATTTGTTAAAAAAATCTCTGTATAGATCACTTTCCGTGGGAGGCTTGGTAACCGCGACTTTTATTCAGGGTACATACTTGGATTCGTTGGGACACTTGATGTAAACTTGGGATTATTCAGGTACTCATATAAAGTCTATTATACCGTTAATTAATATCACTAACCTTTTGCGGGAAATATTTAAATTTTCCGGAAATAAATACTAACGTGTGTGGCAATAATAGCCTGAAGTAAACTGAATGCTGAAGTACGAATGTAAAATATATATTAGAAGTTACTACAAGTGAATTTCTGCCTCGCCCTCAGCTTACACAGTCTATAATGCAAAGTCTATAAACGTGTCTTGTTTACATTTTGCATTGCGCGCAGGCAAATTTTGATCTTTGAATTTTGATAATCATGATAAAGACATCAGTGCGCCTATATATAAGCATTAGAGTGTGTGGTTTGCATATTTGTCGGCTCTGTGACATACACTCACACAGTATCAGTAGTGCACAATATAATACAAACAAGAAATCTTTTAAAATAAATTCATAGTTAATTTTACCTAATTGAATAATTTGAATGTGAACGTTTCTATATCATTTTTTCTGTGTTGGTGTTGTGTACTCAGGTGAATATGATGTTTGTGATGTTACTCTGAGTGTATATCCACACCGGGCGAGCTTGAAAAATACGCCCGGCCACGGTGGGAATCGAACCTATGACCTTTGGAATGCTAGCCCAATGCTCTACAACTGAGCTACGCGGTCAGGACGGTTCGAGTAAGTGATATTTCGGAACAGAATCTAGTTCCTTCGATACCAGTGTAATCTAGTAATATGATTTTTTCTGTGTTTGTGTTGTATACTCAGGCGAATATGATGTTTGTGATGTTACTCTGAGTGTATATCCACATCGGGCGAGCTTGAAAAAAACGTCCGGCCACGGTGGGAATCGAACCTACGACCTTTGGAATACTAGCCCATCAGTTAAATGGACTGCAAATAATATGTCTATAGTTCGAATACGCACGAACTTATGACCTTTATACTAGCATACTTCAAAACAAAATTCAATATCTCGATATTTATGGTATATTTTGATCTATTTTATAAAAAGATTGTAACGTGTTCTCTTTTTATTACATTTTATTTATGGGTACAAAGCTTTCGGAAAGACGCGATGAAGAATGCGTCAAAACCGCAGCGGTTACGTAAATAAATATAGAAAATATAAGTCGCGTCAAAGTATTCGACCGAAATCTGCTTCCTGCTGTACAGGCTTCCTATATTGCATCACAACAGGCGCGGTCACCAAGCTTCCAAAGAAAGTGATCCCCCAAAAAATTTCTGCCGCACGCGCAACGTATACGCAAAATGACGTCATATGTGGGGAAAATTACGCCAAACGCGGGGGGGGGGGGCATATCTACTAACATATAATACTTTTTGTTTGAGGAAATACTAGGTTTGCATGGCGATAAAACGTATAATACATGACAATAAACATATACTGTCTGTGGAAACACCACGTAAATTTATTTCTGCAAAGCTACTGCAAATTTAGATGTTGTTGTACATCAGTAAGATGCGTTTTATCTTTCAACAAGTATTTTTTCTCAAAAAACACCTATTCGTTTTTCCATTTTTTTTAAAAACCATATCTAGCCACCTTAACATTAAGTAGCACAAGTGTAGCTAGATCTTTGAAATGGGTCTTAAGTAATAACTTTCGTTAATATGTACCACTTATACAACTATAACTGAAGAATATAAAATCGCAACTGAAAACAATAATGTTGGCAAAGATACAATAGCACTCCACTCACAAGTTCAGCGAATCTGCCAGTATTTCCTCATTTTTGTGAATGTGCTTCTATAGCTAACAAGATTCGTGCAAAACTTCTGTAGTTTATAGTATAGTACTGACCAACATCGCACGACCCACAATTCACGCTAAATAGACAATCTCCTCTTCCAGGGGTTATATTGTTCCGCTGAACTATATATAATAACGTACTTTCATAATAACAGTAAAATAGCTTATCTCCATCCTTAAAAACATGTTTTCCTCCTTGGCCATCATAGTTGTTATTATCCTCTGTATCAAATACAATGTACTCCAAGTAGCTAAATGCCCACTTGACCATCTGGCATTTAGGAGCATCAATAGAGCTGGATGTTAATAAATAAAATGGCTGACTGACTGGCAGCTCAATTACATCATACCATTGACCCTCTGTTTGACAACAGTACTTGATATTAGTATTCTTCCCATATGATCCATCTGGCAAGGATCCTCCTTTGCTGTTTCCGTTTTTATCATCTGCATCATCCCATCTTATCCAACCAGGAATCATAGATTTCGGACAGCTACCACTTTTGTAAATACAATATGCGCCTGTCAAAACAAAAAAAAACTGTAATTGATTCTGCAAAAATTTCTCACTAATGCTTTCGGAGTCATCGCCTTTAAATTATATTTTACGCGTAGAATAATGGCGATATCCAATTTTCCCCCTTTGCATGACACTAAATTAAACTTCTCGAATTACCATCCTCAATTCTTAATCATCACCCCCACCATTTTTCATATGATTCTATAGCCTATCGAAGGGAAGATGGCTGTGAATAACAATATAACTCATTATCAATGAGGGTCAGCGTTTTTTCATAAATCTGGTCCTTCGCCGTCACGTGTGTATTCTGTTTTTGCCCAACTAACCAAAAGCAATGTTTTAGGAAAGTTACCTATCCGTGACAACACCGCGGAAAAACGTCTGCGCATGCGTCAATATTACTGAAATCTGTCTTGCGAACGTGATGTCAAGTGTTCCGAATGTTGTCAAAAACTCAAAATGGAAGCTACTTCGATGCCTTTTCTATGAAAATGCAAGCGGAATAATCAACGTAACAACCTAAAAACTAGAAATAATTGTAGTCTACATATGCAAGAAGTAGTATTATGCAAGAAAATATAAACCAAAGGTGACTGTCGATAAATTTATTGTATAAAACTTTCTTTAACTGAACCACACAAAGATATTTTTCGTATAGGTTCATATGATCCACATTTTTGTCAATAACTTTTTTTGCGTAGCATGTATAATTTTTGCGTTGATTATATTTAAGGATAATGATTTACTCTACAATTTAATCGTGTGCAAATGCTTAACTATTCTATAGTTTTCTTAACTTTTCTGCTTTAAGTTCGGTATTCCACAATTTTTCAAGAAATGTTCACACGCCTCCCAGTCTTAAACGGTAATTTTTAATTTAAATTCTGTTTCTTTTTAGATTTTAAATGTTAAAAACTTTTTATTCATATCTAAACTACCCGTCTATGGTATTGTTTGTTTGTTTCAAATACCTTAAATCACTAAATAGCCATGTTTTTGTTTACAATTTGGCATTTAAATTCCTCGCCATCTTTGTTGTGCCCCACACATGCGCAGACGTTTTTCCGCGGTGTTATCCGTGACTCGAAGAATAGAGTAAATTGGAAATTGCTATTCGTGGATTTGGCAAAAATAGATTTATGAATAAACGTTGACTAACAGAGATAAAGAGTTTTAGCATTTTTGCACAAGTGAACATAACAATTCATACAACCTGATTGGTCAAATTTGACGAATTAAGCTGTTATATTCACCTACAGGTGAATATAACAAAACTGAAATTTTCAAAATGGCGGCTAGCCGTTTTGTGGAAGTTTACTGATAAAGAAATAAGCGAAATTAAAGTAAATTCAGTACCAAAACACAAAAATACTAAAACAATTATTCGCCTCAGGCTCGGTGATTCGAAAAGGGTTGTCCAATTCGAAAAGGGTTGTCCTTCGCAAACCTTAAACTCTAAGCGCGCAAAGATTAATGGAAGCACAAGTTTCAAGCTTAATAGTTGAATAATGCAGCTATTTGTGAATGAATTGTTCTCGTAAGCAGATATTCACCATGTCTCTAAGAAATGGCCCCCACATATGATTTCTAAACTGATTAAACGATGCTCACATTATGTTTTGCACGTAAAATTTAAAGGTATAAGGTTTAGAGTTTAATGTTTGCAAAGCCAAAGGACAACCTTTTTTGAATTAGCTGTATACAAACAGGCAATTTCCATACATTCGCACGAAACAATCGCCTGGGGGGTTAACAATGCAATAGTCGCTGTACTTTGCAAGCTTATTCTGTTTTTTGAAAAGAAACTTGTAGCTTGATTCGAGATTCTGGATATATTCTCTTTGGAATTTGCTAATATTGCCCATGTAATTTGTGTGCAATCGCTATTAAACATGCGAAATGTTTGCAGTTTATAAAATATTCACTTGTTGGAAAAATCAACCCATTTGTATCGTGAATTTTCACTGATGTATTGTAAACAAAGTCTGCGTTTAAAAACACATTTTGAAGCATATTATCGTGAAACGAGCAGAAAAACACAGAATTTAAAACAGCATACCTTCTTCATTATCCTTTTAGAAGAAAAGTGTTGATTAAATCAAAACAGATTCCTTTACAACACGGTGTTTTTGATCGGCAAAGGAAATGAACATATTAACCTGTTGTTGTCGGAAGCAACTGTGTTTAACTAAAAACCATTCACCAGGTCTAAACTTTTCATTCCTATCTTTTCTGCTGCCATGTTTATGAAAATAGCATGTACATTTTTGCTCAAACTACTATGTCTTTAATGTGTGTTTCCTGCCAGTTTTCTCGAGTTTTCGTGTTCGTGTTTATCTTTCAACTTTTTATTTTTGTCAGCCTCTTTTTATAACACAACCGCGCTGATATCAAAATATTTCGCATGCAACACTGGAATTTTAATAAATTTAATTTTACATCTGCTAAAAATGTTAAACATGCATGCACGTTATTTACCGGCAGCTCGGTCCAGATGAGAAAAACTGTGCCCTCGGTGTATCTACCGTCTTGGTAGTGTAAATACGACACAGGTCTTACGGCTCATATGGATTTATGGCCGATAACCGATCAAGCTATCTTATAGCTATAGATACACAACAACTGTGACGACAGGACTTTGAAAATGTACTATGATTATCTTCTACGAACCGTCAAACTACAATATAAACAAAATACGCTAAAATTACAAAAGGACGATTCAAACTATACTAATATAGCAATACAAAATGATCGTAATTCTCGTACGTTGCCACGTCGACTAATAAATCTTCTTAACGCATTTAAGAATGAGTCTGTGTTCATCGAATTGAGGGTTTGCAGGTGGACTGCTCGAGAGGCTAAGCACGTAAAAATGATACCCCCACCTCTTGAGCTCTTTTCTGCCTTATTTAATATAAAACGGGCCAAAAACATCCATGCCGGTGTATGCAAATGGTGGTGCAGGATTTACACATTCGCTTGGTAAGTCTGCCATTTTCTGTTCTATGGATCTGCCTCGTAATCTTCGACACGTGACGCAGCCATGGATGGCGTGTGATATTACTGTACGTCCGTTAATGACCCAGTATCCTGCTTGTCTTATTCCGTTGTGGGTTATACCGTAGCCTTGGTGTTTCTGGGCAACGTGGTGTCGTATCAGCAGGTTTGTCACGTGGTCGTTCTTAGAGATGAGTACAGAGTGTTTAACTTCGTAAGGCGTTGTTGCATTCTTCAGCCTGCCGCCGACTCTGAGAATACCTTTACCGTCTAGGAAGGGATCCAACTTGTGCAAACTTGTCGTACGTTTCAACGCGGAGTTCCTCACTTTGGCGGATTGTCTATCTTGAAACATGTCCTCGTTACCGGCTAGCCTTTGCATATCATCAACCTCGACAGAAAAATGTTTGTACTGAATAGATTTCAGGATTAATTTCTCCGCTTCTTCAAGCTCTCTAACAGTTGGTGGTCCTTCTTGCATTCTCCAATTGTATTGTTTGTCAGATCGTTTTCTCTCGATCATTCGCTGTATGCATACGATGCTTCGCTTTAATCGATAGAAGGAAGAAGAGTGTTTGAAACGGTCTGCTTCAAGGACCTTTGGGAAATTTCTCCTGACTTGCTGGGTGGTTAAAACTGTGGTCACTTCCTTCCTGACTTCCTGGTCTTTGGGATCTAGCTCGACTCTGAGTTGTGCGTGGGTCTGCTCGGTTTCTTGCCACAGAAACTCGGGACCGACGAACCAACGGGAATTCTGTAGCAATTCGGTCGCTGTAAGACCACGTGAAGCTTCGTCTGCTGGATTAAGTTCCCCAGCAACGTGTCGCCACTGTTCAGGTTTTGATCTGTCACGGATGTACAGCACTCGATTTCCGACATAGGTGTGGAACCTTCTTGCTTCATTGTTGATGTATCCGAGAACTACTGTGGAATCGGTATGGTACAACTCTTCGGTCTCTTTATAATTCAACTCTTTGCTGAGCATGCTCGAAACATTCACTGATATTACTGCCGCTGTGAGTTCCACCCTGGGGGTTGACATCAACTTGAAGGGAGCCACGCGTGCTTTTCCCATGAGAAAACGCACGTGTATTTGACCTTCGGCATTTGTCAAGCGTAGATATGACACTTGTCCGATTCCTACATCGCTTGCATCATCGCGTGTATTTCTATTTTGGTAGGTTTTCCAAAACCGTTGGTTTGACACATCTAGGTAACTTTACTTGCTCGAGAAGGCGAAGGTCGGATCTCCATTTTTCCCAACGGCTGAGGAGCTCGTTTGGAACAGGATCGTCCCAGCCATAGTTGTCTCGTCATAAATCCTGAAGTATTTGTCTTCCAATTAGAATTACTGGCGCCACTATTCCGAGCGGATCGTATACTGAACACACTGTAGACAGCATACCACGGCGTGTACAGGGTTTGTCCTTGAGCTATATTCGGAATCCCAGAGTATCGGACTCGATGCACCAGTAAATTCCCAAGGAACGTTGGATTGGCAAAGCGTCGTGACGTAGATCTAAATCTTTTAGGTCATTCGCACGATCTTCCTTCGAGATTGACTCCAAGACGACCTTGTTGTTCCTAGCAAACTTATGAAGTCGAAGGTTGGCGGATGCACAGATGGCTTGCGCATTCTTGACTGTAGCTATCGCTTCCTCTGGGTTCGCAAAGGATTTGAGACAGTCATCAACGTAAAACTCTTGCTCAAGGAAATCTCTGGCATTTTCACCGAATTCTTGGCTACCTTCTTTTGCTGTAGCTATGAGCCCAAAATTTGCTACACCAGGGGATGACACAGCTCCGAACAAATGAACATTCATGCGATACTCAACTATGGGTTGGTTTATATCACCGTCCTTGAACCAGAGAAACCTCAGAAAATCTCTGTGCTTAGGATTCACTGCAAAGTTGTGAAACATTTGCTCGATGTCGCAAGAAACTGCAATCTCTTCTTTTCGGAACCGCGATAAGACGCCTACCAGAGCTTTCATCCAATCAGGACCTTGTAAAAGGTGTTTATTAAGGGAATCGCCTCGATAAACAGCACTGCAATCGAACACCACCCTTATTTTATCTGTTTTTTGGGGTGATATACCTGGAAATGGGGAAGGAACCTAACCTGTCCTTCTGACACTTGTAATTCTTCGTTTGGTACTCGACTAGCGTGTTTACGGTTGATGGTGTTCTCCATAAATTGCACATAGTCCGTGCGCAGTTTTTCATCCTTCTGCATCTTCTTCTTGAGAGTCAATAATCTAGTCAGGCAATATTTCCGATTGTTTGGTAAGCTTATCTCATCCGCTTTGAAAGGGAGGGGCATTTCCCAATTTCCCTGGGCGTTTTTGTGAATGCCTTTAGTTAGGATCTTGTTAAAACGCATGTCCTCTGCAGACTCGGTTTGTTCTGTGCCGCGAACGTTACGACCGTAGTGAAGTTCATTGTAGTCCAGTTGCATCATTTCTTTTATCTCTTTCGGTGACGTCATGTCTTTACTCCGGGAGCTATCTACGACATGTGCGTGGTTTTCGAGTTTGGTTTCGCGACGATCTTCTTTCTCGATAACAGAGACGCGATTCACGGTTGTCTTGTTTCTGGGGTTGTTATCCAGACATACTCTTCCAATTATTGTCCATCCGAATTTGTATTTTTCTACCCACGGCTCGTCTTCTTTCCCGTAAATAATTTTAAGCGGCTGGAATGCGGTGGGCACGTTACGGCCTATAAGCATCCCGATTTCTACGTCAGGGAGGTAATGAATGTGATGTGCAATCTCTCGCAGATGGTTCCACCGGCGGGCAATTTCGGGTGTTGCGATGTCGTACTTATCTGCTGATATATCTTCTCTTGAATAAGCATAGTTGACCTTCATGGGTTGGTGTCGACCTTCGACGTCCTGCACGCATAGACCAGATACCTTACGAGTGTGGATGCTGTTAACTCACACAATGGTGTTGACTTCAAGCGAAATCTCAGGGCCGCTAGTGTTAATCTTTTCTAACAAAGCATCTGTCACAAAGACATCGGTAGACTGATCGTCTAATACAGCGTAGGTGGGTACCCGAACTGTGGGATCATCCTGATGGAATACTTGAAGGACAATTCTAGCACAGGATCGTCCCGCCTGATTCTCCCCGCAGACCTTCGTGCAAGAAGTCTTTGCTTGGTCATCATTATTATTGTTGTCATGTTTTGCTGGATTATGAAGACACGTGTGATATTTCCCTTTACAAATCTTGCATTCTACTTCCTTCTGGTCACAGTTTTTAGCAATGTGCTTGTCCGAGTTTACACACCTTAGACACAGAATAGGAAGTTATACCAGAAGCGTAACTCTAGTCGTTTCCCTTGTTGTTTGACGTCCACGAAAATTTTAACTCGCTCACGTCAGGCCACGCCATCCTGGCTAGTACAGCCGGAAGTTTTTATCAGGATTTGGTAGGTACAAAGTGCCGGTTGTACTAGCCAGGATGGCGTGATTGATGACGAATCGCTTGTAAAAACGCGGACAAATATTTGCTCGAGTTACGCTTCTGGTATAACTTCCTATTCTGTGCCTTAGACAAATCCGATGGGACATTATAAATTCCTTGCGCTCACGAAAACTTAACTTCTGAAACTTTTCACAGTTCTTTGAAGAATGAGAAGATCTTTCGTGGTAAAAACAGAACATCGTTGGTTTAGTGGGTAGTCTAAGATATTTAGATGGGTCGTGTTTCTCGGGTGGTAGCGGATCGTGAGAGCCTGACTCATATGCTGAAGATGCAAGAGCAGTAATGGAGCATGCAGGCGGGCGGCGCCTGCTTGTATCTCCTGCCTTCTTAGGTGTGGATACTGTGATAGGAGATAGCTGAGAGATGTTGGCTCGTTCTGCCTCGTGACTCACGTGGTTTACAAACTCTTCAAAAGAAGGGAATGTTTCTTTTCCATTGACCTTTTGAAATTTCATCACTCTCTCAGACCACTTCGACTTGTACCAGCTAGGGAGTTTCTCTACCAACGGTTGTATCTGTGATGGATAGTTGTAGACTTTCAAACTCACTATGTGCTTGCTTGCAATCTGAACTTGGCGAAGAAAGTCACTAAATTCTTGCAATGCACCAGCATCACCGGGATTTATTTTAGGCCAGGCAGCCAAGCGTTTTTCAAAATTTACACCAATTATCGCGTTGTTCCCAAACCTTTCTTTAATTAAGTAACTTCCGAGCCTCAGTATAAGCAACTTCTGGCTGTTCAACCATGTATTGCAACTGCTCGACAACCTTTTTCGCCTTTCCGGCCAAGTGTTGATTTAATAAGTACAACTTTTGCTTGGCATATATATGAACAGAGTCTACTAAAGCATCAAAGGCATTTTGCCACAGAAAGAAACTGGTCTTGTCTTCTTCCGATCCCGTGAAGATCCCTGGTTTGCTCTGTAGTCTAGGACCAGAATATGAGTTTGTATGCGATTCATTTAGGACAGATAATCTCAACTGTTTTAGGGTAAAATGACCATGGCGGTCAACATGGCATATGTGCCAAAACCTGAATCCGGGACGAAAGTCCTGAAAATGACCCCGCCCTGAAACGGCAGTGTCGACATAGCTATAACTTCCAAAAAGGACAAGCGATAGCCTTTCTGAAGTGCTTATAGTGTTTAGAAGGGTTGCTTTTAGGGGTGGTCATTGGAAGGAAAAATTTGTCTAAGTATAATATTTTACCAGAAAATGACTATGCACCACCCCAGGTACTGTAAATTGCTGATTATGCACAAAATAACTAATATGCCTGGCAGAAATTAAATATTCTTATTTCCTAAAAAAAATATTATGGGGTAAAAACTATGCTTAATTTAATATAAATATTGTTGATTTCATAAGGATTGTCATTGTTTTCTTTAAATATAATACATTTTATTTCACTTACCCCCCATGAAAACACGATTTCAGCCATATTTTGCCGTCTTGTTTGCTTTTTATCGCCGAATCTCGCAAATATCATCCAGTTATTGTACTTTTACATAATTATAAATCGCTGAAGAAGATTTCAAAGAAGGTTTCATCCACTTTTGTAACAGTGCAGTGTATTTTATCTTCGATATTGTGTCCTTCGATATTTCGTCAAATTGCCGCCATTTTAATGGCTCGCCGCTTCTCTGCCCGATAAATGCCACTTCTTCGTTTTCATATGTATTTAGATTACATTATCCAAGAGTACTTCCTTGTAGAATAGTGCCAATCCAAAAATTGAAAATATTATTGGTACTTGGGAGGAAAAAACCTCCCATAATAGTTGTCCTGTTTGAATTCAAAAGAAATAATTTAAAAGTCACGCGCAAGTTCGCGAAAACACCTCGTGGGTTACATAACAGGGGGGAGTGAATATTTTCACGAACCGTTTGTTCGCCACCACAGGCCACAGCAACCTAACTAAGTACATTATATTTATTGTATATTTGTGATTTATGATAAAAGCAATAAATATTTGCGTATCAATTATAAAAATACAAAAAATATCATACATTGAATTAGGTTGCTGTGGTGGCGAACAAACGTTTCGTGAAAATATTCACCCCCCTGTCATGTAGTACACGAGGTGTTTTCGCGAACTTGCGCGTCACTTTTAAATTATTTCTTTTGAGTTCAAACAGGACAACTATTAT